ATCGTCAGTGTGTACCGATAACGCAAGCGGGGTTACCATTACATTTTAATCCATTAGAAAAAGAAAACATACATACATATCTGTCACGCCTGTCTCCCATTAGGGTAGGCAGAAACAATGGAACACCTAATGCTTCGATTCAAACAAACCTCTTTCGCTTCTTCCACATTCATCAATCTTTTCATACACGCTCGCCGGTTACGGGTACTTTTTATTTGGCCCTTCTTCAGCACGTCGCCTATTTGGTCGACATACGTCCGTCTAGGGCGGCCCCTACCGACATCTCCATTCATTCTTGCTCGATAAGTCTCTTTCGTAATTCTTCTTTCATCCATCCTCTCCAAATGACCAAACCAACGCAACATTCCTTTTTCGATTTTTGTCACTACATCGACTTTCAGTCCACACTTCTCTCGAATCACACTGTTTCTTACTCTATCTTTTAGAAAAAAAAATTCAAAAAAATTCAAAATTCAAAAATCATTTATTCATGTAGGACATTTTAGCCGCCAAAAGTGCCAGTCAAAACAAACATATTGAGTAGGTATTGGAAACATACGTTTACTGATATTAATCGATGATGTTTTGTTTCGAAAGACTTCACGGTCGCTTTCTATTCGTGGCTGTGGCTGTGTCGAGTCAGTAAATGTCTCTATGAATCAGACGAGTGGGCTGTAACCAATATCAACTTTGTACAAAAGTCGATTACTTAGGTACCTCTGTCCCATTCGTGTTTCTACCGTGAAGCAGTTGTGTTCGCATGGCTGTGTTTCGGTTTGAAGGGTGGGATATGGCGTGAATTTACTGGGTACAGAGGAATAACACCTGAGTCCTCAGGAATGGCAACGCATGGGGGGTATCATGGGCGAAACAGTATACTCTGTTATGTCCATGGTACTGTTCATGTCTATAGGCTTGAGTAGAAATATACCTAACGGTAAACTCTGACGCTTGATACTTTTAACTACTATAAAAATCTATATAAATTATAAATAAAATAATTTTCTCCTCTAATGAGATATAATTTAATGACATTTATAAATATAAAGAACTAATTGTAACTTATTACTAGGCTGTATGGACTATACTCTTTGCCTTTTCAATGTTGGACGAATTTTAAAACAACAACAACAATCCCTCTATCTCGATCACTCGCTTTTCACACTGCTTATTTTATAATTTCTATTTTTCTATCTTACTTTGTATTGTAAATAACTTCTGAATATATGTACATAGGCAAAGTTGTATCTAGTATTTAGCCTAAACACCCATAGCCATGAACAGCACCTACAAACCTTCAAACTGCAATAGAATTTCGACCACAATGTCGTCGCCATCATTTCGACCTGTACATTCCTAAAGTGGCCAGCCTTGCCTCGCCTTCACCCGGGACTGTAAATCATGCACAGTAAGCCGTGGGCTGAGAACAAACGACCCTCCGTCCCTCGGCCCCTCAGCCCCTCAGCCCCTCGGTCAGTTTGCCCTATCTATATTTAGATGCGTGTGCTTCTTTCTAATGTGGGGGAGGCGATATCTGTGTGTCTTACCCTTGGGCTCGTTATCATTGTAAAATAAGACACGAATCAGGGCGAGGGTAACACTGTCAGAAATGTAGGAATTATTTAAGATTTTGTTTAATCGTGAAAAAACAAGTGGTTTTTATTTATAAACCAGCGGCGCGTCCCGGCTTCGCACGAGTGGACATTTTTACATTTTAAAAAGTGGCCTTTAACGTTGCACAGACGACGGAAGCTTAAAAATAGAGTAATTTCTCCCCATTTTTGCCAACATTTCCCTTCACTGCTCTGCTCCTATTGATCGTAGCGTGATGAAAAGTATACTATAACCTGTCCAGGAGTATGAAGAATAATTGTACCAAGTTTCGTTAAAATCCGTCGAGTAGTTTTTGTTTCTATAATGAACATACAGACAGACAGACAAAAATTTTACTGATTGCATTTTTGGCATCAGTATTAATCACTAATCACCCGCTGATAGTTATTTTGGAAATATATTTCATGTACAGAATTGACTTCTCTACAGATTTATTATAAGTATAGATTAAAGTAGTGAGCCATTTTTGATAAAATTTCTGTGAGACCAATATAAAAGTATATTTATACTTATACTTTCAGATAAAAGAAAATTTAAATTGGAATATAAACGACGGAGTTATGAGGTTACAAACAAATAGCCCATTGTGTCTCACTGTGTGGTGAAAAGACCTCCCTCAGCGTTTTTTTATACAACTTAGAATGGCAAACAAGCTGACGGCCCACCTGATGGAATGTGGTAACCGTCGCCTATACACATGAGCAGTACCATGGACATAACAGAGTATACTGTTTCGCCCATGATACCCCCCATGCGTTGCCATTCCTGAGGACTCAGGTGTTATTCCTCTGTACCCTGTAAATTGCTGCTTCCATCTTACACGATCGCTGGCCAACCAATAGTATAGATTTTAACTAGACTCCTCCTCTTGAAGCCCTCCTTTTTTTTAAACATAAGATCGCATCGAGATTCAACCAAAAACAATACTTTTTTTTTGATGGATGAAAATGGCATGGTAACCCCGCCTGAGCTAACGAGATACGCTGGCAGAGCACCAGTGGAGGGTGATAGATGAGAATGAAAACAGGCCAGTTAGCCCATCATGATGAATTCATCAGGAATTAACCATGATAGTTTCCAGGGAGAACCGCGAGGAGGCGACCTGGTTGGGTATATTGCTAGCAATGGGATTCTCAGTCTCCATTACTAACAATCCCTTTCCCCCTATTGAAAACAATACTAGTAGTCTAGTATTATAGTAATGTAATAAATAATTACTAAAACGCGAGTAGAATATAATTATGTTGTACTATTTATAGTGGTTAGCAAGATTAACAAATTAACACGCCAAACAATTGGTGTTACTGTCAAATTAATGGCGTCACACACACACACACACACACAATTTCGGTGCGTTCCGGTTACTAGGTACCAGGTGACGATATTGACCGCTACGTTCACTCTTATTAATTGGTGTTGGCGAAAGTACACAATCGATCATTTTCTAGTTATTTTCGGTTATCAAAATAGTGAGGGCAGTTCTCTGTTTGTTGTCACTGCTTATGACGTGCGTATACCGAAATGCGCGGGGTTAATTTTTTTTAATCGATTTTAAAATCGAATAGATCCTCAATTCGGTTGAATTATTTTTTTTATTACCTCATATCTCCGTCAGTTATAAATCGATTACAGTCTCTGCGCCAACTCTACCTCCTTGGAGGTCTTTGAAGGGTTTCTCAGTAACGTCTAAATGGATATAAAGTACTCTTGTAATGGATCCTCATCATTTCACAGGAGTGACTTATTTACAAGCCGCCATTACATGTCGTTTGTATGCAGTAGGTGAGGGACGATGGGTGCGCAGCGACCATCGACTGCTCGATATCAATAGGTGACCTTGCATTGATATTTAAATCTGGAAAAGTTGTATTAACTTATGTAAATGTAAATAGAGTGATTTATAAAAGTTCCGATTTATAAATAGCCGATGCCCTCTGCCATTCGATTTATAATTCGATAGTGAATTTTTGAAGTGAATTTACAATACAAGTTCTTTACATATATATTTTTTTTAATTTTCAAATGTCGAACGTCGAACATAAAATGTTCGTGCGGGTTAGACAAAAAAATAAACTATTCCTAATTTTTTTTTTTTTTTATTTAGGCAACGGGCTAGTGCTGCCCATTATGCCATCAACAAAAATCCTCATTTGACCAAATTTTGATCTAATTAAAGATTGTTTTTATAGTGCTACTAGTAATAAAAGTAATTTCAATTCTAATGTATAACTGTTATAACTACGCACTCTATTTATCGAATGATTGTTAAATAAACAAAAGTATAAACAATGGTCACAGTTCGGAGAAAAGTTTTCTACTTTTCAACAAATTAAAATACGACGCCACGTTGACGTCACAAATGTTGGACATCATTAATTTCTACGAAATTAATGAGAAAATTTACAAGCGTAGGTATTACAAGGCTAATATAAACAATCCTCGTTTTCTATATTTCCATCTATTTTTACTAACCTCATTCAACCTTCACAATGATAACAGGTAAAGGATATATCAAATAAAAATAATTCTAATAAATATAAAATTACAGACTGTAAATTATTTATGTAAGAACACATATTTTCTTCTATGTTCTTGTACGAGTAATATGCAGTAATGAAATAAAAATATTTCATATCAGAGTTTCGTCCTATTTGACCAATTGAAATATAAAAAGCACCATTCTGCAATTTATTCTTATTTTAAATTATTTATTAAAAATTTTCGAATAACAAATATAGTAACGTTCGATATTTCAGTCCAGCAAATTTGGGCTAAACTTTACCTTTCTTTTTTTCCTCAGTGATAATCAGTCGCCATTTTTACTATCGTTTCTGCCGGCGTTATTTATAAAAGGCTCATAACTCGAATATTATTACTTTTTTACAATTAACAATACATACTGATCCATCGCGTATATGTACACTCAAACACACAGATACAGCTCGTCAGTTTAAACTCTCCGTTCCCGCCATTTTTTCCGTCAGCTTTTTATTTGTATATTTTATTAATCTATATTTTTTTTTTAAAGTAGTAATGTGAATAGCCACACTTCATTAAAACATCCGCCTTGCAATAGATTTAAACTGTGTCAGTATGATACGCTTTCCTTATATTGGATTCTAAGGAATATTGTGTGGATATCTATGCAAATCGTTTGCTTAACATGAATCATTTATGTTTATTGCGTCCGCTACGACATGCAACTTTCCGATTGTTTGTAGTACAGTCATTGTTTTTTAAACATTTTTGTTACAATGAGGATATTCAAGAAGCATGAAAAAAAGTCTGTCACTGTCAAATACGAAATATTTGTACTAATTTTAATTGTATGTAAATATGTGTACAACATGTACAAGTAAAATTTAATATCTATTAATTTGTTTCAGGTCTCGTGTCATGAACGTGTTTATCTCTATACATCGCTTTTATAAAAATGGATAGATAAAGCATAAGACACATAACCAAACAGCCATAAAATAAAAAAGTTAAAATGACAAGAAAGACTTCGAAATTCAAATCTCGTGATGTTGTAGTGCAGTTCTAAAGACAACATTTAAATAATATTCCTTAGTGCAAGAATTATATCAAAAATGGATGCACATAATGCAACTTTCTACCCGAGGGAAGCAACAATATTGGCTGCAGCCTGCGCGTGCATCTTCAGCGTAGTTGGTGTGGTTGGTAAGTATCTTATGATTTGTTTGTTATTGTTTAAAGTTTAACATAATGTTTACGATATCGATTCACATGCACGTTGATACACTTACGGCACGCCAGTATTCATGGAACGCGATGAAGTAATGTTTACAGTAGCGACAACGCCCAGAAAAATGTCATAACAATCTCAAGATCATTTTGAAATTTTGTTATTATCGTCTTAATTAAATTATATTTTTAACACACAGTAACGTGCAACCTCAAAGATCCAACTTGTAAATAGAATTTATTTAAAACTAAACCGATGATTTATTAAATATGCGTCAAAATATTATTCAATCGAAAGTAAATATAAAAAATTTTGATTTATCGGTAAACGTTTGATTATAAACGATCAGTTAACACACGCAACATAAAACGCAAAGTGCCAGTCGTAATCGGACATCAAACAACTCATTTCCAGTAAACTGATACACAAGTACACGACACATTCAATCGACAGCTGAATAAACAAACAATGGCGCATCACTAGCTTATCTTGTTGCATTGCATTTTTAAATTTGGAATTTTATATTGCTTTTTTCGTAGATATTGCTGGCATAGAAAATAAAGAGTACCTAAATACACGTAAAAAATTAGAAAATACTATATGCTATGCTAATAAATCTACTTAATTTTTTTTTTTTAATATTAACTATTAACTTAATAATAAACACGGTGGCTGACTACAACAATTAGCCTAAAGCGATAAAAGTCCTTGATAATTTTGCTCAGTAATTTCCGACTGACTAATAAAAAGTATTGTATTGTATTATAAAATCTAAGTTGTATAAAAAAAAAAAAAACACCAACTATCCTAGCTCGAGGTTCAGACGATTAGTGTAATCGTGTGACACTTATCATTTTATTTATATTTTTTCTATTTATCTAAACAAAGGTTGTCTAGAAGAGATTGCTTAGCAATAAGATCGCCTTTTGTACTACACTATACTTATCGAAAATTGTTCATCAAATCCTGTAATGTTGGTGCAATAAAGTATTAAATAAAATAAAATAAATATAATGCTAATGGTTTTTTTTTATACAACATAGAATGGCAGACAAGCTGACCTGAGCTACCATGGACATAACAGAGTATACTGTTTCGGCCATGATACTCCCCATGCGTTGCCATTCCTGAGGACTCGGGTGTTATTCCTCTGTACCCAGTAAATTCACGCCATATCCCACCCTTCAAACCGAAACACAGCCATGCAAACACAGCTGCTTCACGGTAGAAACACGAATGGGACAGAGATACCCAAGCAATCGACTTTTGTACAAAGTCTCTCTGGTATTTATTTTTAATTCCTTATAAACGACCTTGTTATCGACCTTATTTTAAAAGCACAGTGTCGATGTACTTGACCCTCAGCTAGGTGTACAGAACAAAAATAATACATAAATTGCAAAGAATTGATGGATACATTACTATTGTATGTTATTTTTAACATTCAACGATTACTAGGAATCATACAAATATTCAAGAGGATATTTGTGTATTTGTATTACTAGTGGTCGCCCAGTGGTCGAAATACGACCATAACGGGGGGAAGGGATTGTTAGTAATGGGGTCTAATGAACCCAGTATACCCTATCAGGTCGACCTCCAACGCGGTTCCCCCTGGAAACCATCGTGGTTAATTCTAGTGGAATTCGTCACGATGGGCTAACTGATCTGCTTTCATTCTCATCTATCATCACTCACTGGTGCCTCGCCAGTGTATACTGTTAGCGCAGGTGGGGTTACCATTCCATTATCACCCATTAAAAAAAATACGACGATAAAAAAAAACATATATTGTAATAAATTAATTTATTATGGTCATGTTTGACATTCAGTAAGACTATAGACAAATAATACAATAAAAACAAACAATATTAATCTATTCTCAATTTGACCACAGACTTTAACAATAGACAAAAGTGTATATTATGCATGTGTGTGTCAAATACATGGTAGTGTGTGTAATGTATATTTTTTTATTAATTTAATAAATATTTATGCTCAATTAAAAAAAAAATATTAGCATTCTGCTCTCCTTCTCTATATAAACTATAAGTGTGCGAAATTTCATACTCCTCCGTCCGCGCAATTTTTTTAAAAGGGGGCAAAGCTTTTGCTTAACGTATTAATAATAACAAAAATATACTTACTATATCGAAATGTAGTGAGTCGTATCCGCGATCAGCCAAAAATGCAAAAATGTATTTAAATACACTTTGGCGCGTTGGTATAAATAATGTCAAACATGCCGACACCCAGTTGGCAGACGATGCGGGCGGCGCATCTAATGCCTCTCATCGCGTAATTAAATAAATAAATTGTTTTAGCCGGCGTTGTAATCAAAATATTTAAAAAACCTGAGATCACTATCCGAACTTGATCTAGACGGAGCCGATGGTTGCGCTAACACAGACATAGACAGAGCAAAGTAACTCAATTTATTTATGAATTATATCTATCTACATTGTTTTAACAATCATTTGACAATTTTAACTACTAAACTGCCTTAATGAAATCTATTTATCAAGAAAATCAATTACTGCATTTTTTTTAATGGATGATATTTTTTTTTTATATGAATGATAATGAAATGGTAACCCCGCCTGCGCTAACGGTATACGCTGGCGAGGCACCAGTGAGGGATGATAGGTGAGGATGAAAAGACAGGCCAGTTAGCCCATCGTGATAAATACACTTAGAATTCAGCACGATGGTTTCCAGGGGGGACCACGTGAAGGTCGACCTGTAAGGGTATATTGTTAGCAATGGGACTGATAATCCGCATTACTAACAATTCCTTTCCCCCCTAATGGATGATATTGGAATGGTAACCCCGCCTACGCTAACGGTAAGCGCTGGCGGGGCTCCAGTGAGGGATGATAGGTGAGAATGAGATGGCAGGTCAGTTAGCCCATCGTAATGAATACATCTAGAATTCAACACGAGGATTTCTAGGAGGGACCACGTGGAGGTCGACCTGACAGGGTTCATTGACAGCAATGGGACCGGTAATCCGCATTATTAATACCCTTCCTACATTAAATCCATGTTTTTTTGTGCAATTTGAATGGCAAACAAGCTGACGGCCCATTGATGGAAAGTGGTAACCGTCGCCTATAGACATGAGCAGTACCATGGACATAACAGAGTATACAGTGTAGTGAATATTTTTTGTTAATTCCCTAAATTTAAAAACTTCAACATAAATTAATGTAGGAACTGAAAAATTTAAAATTAACCGGAGTAAATTATACTCTATTGAGCTTAATTTAAAACTTCAAATTGACCCATAAACTACTATAGTTGCTACATCTATTTTAATCCATACTATCTCGTTGGTATGTTGGTATGAGCACTATTCAATGTACACCATAAAACTCTATCATTATTCATTCACATCTCACTGCTAGCCATAGGTCTCTCAACAAGAGTATTATGGTTTGTTCTTCTAGTCAAATCTTTATGATTACTAGACTCTCTAGGCAAGTGGCTAACTGGTGAGTTAGCGGGGGGAGAGGGATTGTTAGTAATGGAGACTGAGAATCCTATTGCTAGCAATATACCCAACCAGGTCGACCTCCTCGCGGTTCCCCCTGGAAACTATCATGGTTAATTCCTGATGAATTAATCATGATGGGCTAACTGGCCTGTTTTCATTCTCATCTATCACCTTTCACTGGTGCTCCGCCAGCGTATACCGTTAGCGCAGGCGGGGTTACCATATCATTTTCACCCATCAAAAAAAAAAACTGGTGAGTTAGCAGGGGATAATGGATTGTTAAATGTGGGCATTAGTTAGCCCCATTGTTAGCAATACACCTAACTCAATAGAGGAGTATATTTGTTATTTATATATATTTATTCGTTTATATATGTAATTTTAATATGTATGTATATCAATAATTAGTAGTACCGCATTCGAGTATTCTGACACTTCCCTATGGTTGACTGGGAGAGAATGCTCTCAGTATTAAGTCCGCCATGTACACATATTTGTACTAATGAATAAATAAAATAAAATAAACGCATCATATTAATCCGTGACGCATTGACCTCACATCAATAGGACTTTCTTTCATTGGCAGGGCATCAGCCTCACTCTTTTTATTTCGCTTTTATAAGCAATAAAGCACACGCATCGCCATAAGAGAGGTCTTATTCACAGCGAGCGGATTGTAAATCCAGTTGGTTAGTGAATTAATCGTTTCTTTTTTAACTGACATCAAAAACAAGAGGGTTCTCGATGCATACTTATCAGTCTCACTGTCAGTTGTCAATTGATTTGGAAAATTCTTTTTTTATCTGAAAGGACAGAGTTACAAATTGATCCCATACGAATTTTATAGAAATCGGTTCAGTAGTTTAGTTCTTAACCCTTCTTTGCATAATGGTGGAAATTTTCATCATAACATTGAATGCCCAAAAATTATATAAAAGAACAAGTTCACTTTAACTTGATCGTGTCTGGACACCTTTCTAATGTCCATTGCAGAAAAAAAAAACATAGCTGTCAAATTTATTTTACTATTGAGCTGTTTTGTTACCCCTATTTGAAGCTTTTGGCAGTAGCCGCCACGCTTCACAGTAGTTAGACTTTGGTGATGTTTAGAGTAGAATGCTGCTGTCCATCCATCGACCAGAGGAAGATTTTGTACAAAAGTCGATTGCTTGGGTACCTCTCATGTTTCTATCGTGAAGCAGTTGTGTTTGCATGTTTCGGTTTGAAGGGTGGGATATGGCAGTGAATTTACTGGTTACAGAGGAATAACACCCGAGTCCTCAGGAATGGCAACGCATGGGGGGTATCATTTATTTATTTATTTAAGGAACACCAACAGCATATTGCATTATAACATATATAACAAACATTAAATATAATACAATATTAATGCACGTGCCTATTAAAGGTATTTACAACATGGGCGAAACAGTATACTCTGTTATGTCCATGGTACTCTCTCATGTCTATAGGCGACGG